ATGAACGAAGATAAAATAGAAATTCATCTTCATCATGAATATTCGATAATATTGATGGAGAATGATACGATTTTATATCAGTTTCAAACGAAATTCCACGATGTTTTAATAAAACATTTTTTAAAGTATCGAAATTATTTGATTCAATTTCAGAATTAAGAGATAAACGAAGAAATTCATCACATTGAAGACCAAAATAATGTGCCAGAGTTGATACAGTTAGAGGTCGACGTGTTTGAATATTACTAAGAATTGATAATTCAATTAAAAATATATCGAATACAAAAAAATAAATTCTATACGTAAAAAAAAAAAGCAAACCAGAATAAATTAGATGGCACCTTACCTCAATTCAGGGTGCAAAGCATTTCAGTTTTCAGTTTAGGACTTTCGACATTGCACAGATAATAAAAACTCATAGTACCTATCGAATCGATGAAAATTGACTATTTTTACTGCAAGTTGTTGTTGAATTTAGATTTCATTAGGTTGTGATTATTATAAAAAAACACTCTTTAATTCAATTTGCTCACATTGCGAAGTTGCTGAGAAATTGTGTCGTGTTTTCACCAAGTGTCTTATTTAAAGACAGTAAATATCGATATTTAACATTTTCTCTACATAAGCTTTTTCTATTGTATTCATACAAATGAATGAGTTTGTATTCATTTATATTAATATTAAGTATTCACTGTCATGTGCCTCTGGTGAAATTTTGTTCAGTTTTCTCTACAAATCTTCGATAAAAAAAAACGATGTTGATATTTTCTATTCGTTTTTTTTACACAAGAGCATATGGCCTAGCTAGTTATACCCTATAGATTTCCGTGAATTATCAAAAAATATGTCAGCAAGTACTTATTCATGGATTATCATTAGAACCAGCAATAAATAATCATTGCTAAGACCAGTGTTCAGTCTCGTTTCTTTATGCTGACATAATGAAAAAAAACCATAGATTATTTATTATATCCGGGTTTTTCTTTGGATAGGTAAAATTTCCTGAAAGTCCGATAAAATGTTCTATCATATAGAGATCTCAACGTCTCTAATGACATTTCAATGAGTATCAGACGATATTTTGTTTTCAAGATCAATTTACATAAAATATGAACTTGGATGAGGAATTCTAAAAAGAATAGAAATCTCGATTGATTCCTATAGAGTGCTTCGCACTTTAAGAACAAGTATCATTTTATACTATTAAATAAATACACAGGTTTTATTCCACTAATTGCCACTTATTTTATAGATGATTCATCAACACTAGACAAAGGAAAAAGCCAGATACTTACAATGTCGAATCGCTAATTTCTGTTTGATCATTTGCTCTTTTTCCTGTTAAATCTGTTTGTTGATCGAATAATACAGATAGACTTTCAATATCAGTTGTCAAACTTGAGGCCATCTACAATACAAAAAATATCAGCTGATGTTATTCATCATTGGTTTCTTTTTCAATATGATTCACTGCATCTCTTTTTTTCTTTCATTCTTTAGATGAGTAAATAAATATAACTCTAAAAAACAAAAGATTTGATGATATATAACATATATCAGTATTCTCAACGATTTTATTTAATAAAGGCTTATACAAAGAAAAATAGTTGAATTTATCTGGTGAGGGGAAAAAATAGAAAACAACGAGAAGTAGACTCATTGTTATTGATGAATGAGAAGAAGATTATGCTCACGAATATGGTCGTATGCAGAACGAATAAAACGCTGACTGTTTCGAATAGGAAGAAAGAAAGAAAGAAAGAAAAAAAACGCACTAACGACGGACATACAGATGAGTAATTGTATCGTTATGAGAAAGCCATGAAAAAAAAACCACTGTACAATCATTCAGTTCTCATTGTGACGAAAATTAGAAGTGAGAAGTTGATAGCAAACATCATACTTGATATCGATAGCCGATAATATAAGTTCGATATCAACTATTTACATTACAACATATTCGTATTGTAATTATTGCATGCACAGAAAGATAGTTATAATATAACAGTTTGCATTTCAGATCGATTTTGTGTTCCCTAGAAATTTTTGTATTTTACATTATTATAAAGATTAATTTACGTTAGAAAGAGGTGAACAAAAAAAAAACATGAAGATAATAAACTATATGTAAGAGAACGAAAAGAATTGATAATGTTTGCTGGAACGATTCGAAACAAACGAACATTCTCTTTTGACAATAGTTTAGATAATATTTCTCTGCTGTGATGGTAATCAATTGTTCGTTACCTTCGATTCATTACCGTCATTGTATGTAGAAAAGTTTTTCATTTCTGAATAGGTTCTCTTATCCCACAAGGTACTTTAAACATGGGTTTAGAACTTTTGGTTAATTCTAAGTATTAAAATCGAAATTATTCCTACAATATTTATCATGACAGTATCTTTATATGTAACTATCATAAGCGTGTCACAGTATTCAATACATTATCAATGAATTTAAACATAGTGAATTAAAAATGATTGGCAGACAGGTGGTTTCATTTGAGATATATATTGAATTTATCATTTTAACAAGATTATGTATTGATCGATAGATATGCATTCTGAAACAATGAAAACTAGGAATGAATTCATCGTTTATCTTTATTATTGAATCTATAGCTTAGATAATCTAAAAAACTTTTTGACAAATGGCAATACCATAAATTATTCTGAATAAATTACTTCAATAATGTAAAGTCACTTGTATGTAGAAAGTATTTACATAACATGTCTGTTGAAATTCCACTAATTTTTTTAGTTATTGGAGAGAATTTCCAACTCTGTCTTGAGTTCGGCTCATAGACAGCAAACCTTTGATGGATGCCAAAAGCGATGTTTGTACAGGATTTTTCAGGTATCCTTTTCTAGTATTTTGATTAAAACTGTCTCGTTCTAAAATATATGAAAGTCTTTTTGTATACTGGTTTGTAGAGCAAGGTTCAGTCTACAAATTTCTTATTTGTTTATTTATTTTTTACATATTGCTACAAACGATGAAAAGCTTTTGCATTTTGGAAATAAAAAAAAGTGTTTTTTTTTTTGGAAAAAATAGTAAAGAATAATTATTTAGAAAATATTTATAGCTTTAGATTCTTTGCTTTACTCTAGTGTAAACCAAAATTTTTTAGAAAACTGAATCCTCTACAACTATAGAAGCTCAAATCAATCAAAACATACCATTCCAAGAAGTTTTGAATAAGAGACCAAGAGTAATTTGCTTAGTGTAAATAATGTTTTTGCTTTATTCAAATATTTGTTTACAGGTGACTAGTTGTATATCAGAGAACAAGTTGGAATATACATTTGAAAAGCATATACCATTTCGATTCTCACTGTCAATTCTCGATTTTCTTCAATGACATCTACGTGTCCAAAAACTGAGCAAACATACTTGCCGAGATCTATTAATTTAATGTTTTTTTACAAATGGTCTTTTTAGCTTCCATCAAAGATTTATTCGCCAAGACCGAAATTGAAATCTAAACCGGATAAAAAATGCTGACTATATACTAAGGAAGAGCGTAAAATTGTTATTTTAGTGGATCATTTTTGATTCTCTCCTGTCGGAATACTTCTACGTTTAAAGTACTCTGATATAAAAACATTGATATCAACACTTCATGCATCTTATTCATTTTGTCAACGAGTTAACTCTACTGATGTAGTTTTGTCTAACCAAAACTTTTATCTTAATTGAAAAGTTTTTCGTGTATTAAGCAAGCGAGTTGAGGGTTCTTTTTTTACTTTTTTATGTTAAATATAGTTCCGCAGCAATTTAGCACTCATGGATCAAACCGAAGTTTTGCATAGAAACTATGAAGATAGTTGATCGAGTGAAGATGCATATCTTTGTAGTAGAAACTCTTATTAGCAAGCGCAACGTAGAGACCTTAAATCATACGCATACTTAATTTTCATTAAAGTACTTATAAAGATGCCATTGAAAAAAAGCAATCAAACCGATATCTGACATTTTTTCCAGTGATATTACTACATAAAGTTGAAATTCTATGACACAGAAATAGGTTGAAGAATACCATGTTTGATATTAAAAGAAACTCCATTAGTTACAGTTTTCATTCTTGCATCGTGAAGCAGTTCCGAAGAAAAGAAAAACATAAGAAACTTTCTCAGTAGATTCCAATATATGATATTGATATTCACTCAAAGTCTTCTGCTGGTATACTAATCTGTTGTGTTGGATGTACAAAGGAATGCTCTATTAGGTAGTGTTACATTCAATATGGACCAGTGATTGAAAATGATTGCTCAAATAGATTTGCTGAGATTAGAATCAGTTGTATTACTGACATAGCTTGTGTCTTTTGGATTATATTATTTTGAACTATATCAAATGAGTCTAGAAAGATCTATCTTCTACAATATTTTTTTATTTTTTTTCATATTTATTTGCTTTTCGATTTAAATCTTTATGAATCAGAACACAAAATAAGAAACGTTAAACCAGGGACAGATTTTGAGGAGAAGAAATGATTGTGTCCTCATTCTGGAAATTTCATTGCTTTATCTCAGGAGAAAAAGTGCAAAAGGAGCAGAGACTACCTTTTATGAAATTTCAAATACATTCTTTGACTACGATTGGTTCTCTTTCCATTGAAGCATCAGCATTTACTGGAACTCTAGCTCTACCTTTGTGTTGAGACAACTAGAAATATACTTCAGTACACAAGTTTATTACTGAACAACTGAAATCCCATGTTTGATTTACATAACAACAGGTCATTCACTGTGGTTTAGCAGCAGATTCTCTTCCTCCTCTCCCGCGGTTTCAAATCTTTGATAGTATAGTATCTACCTTTGTTTCGCTAAAGTTATAATTTTGTGATTGATTATCCTTCTATTTTGAATTCTATAAGAGAAGTACGTTTGCTTATCTTTATAGTATATTTGCATTGAATCATTTATTGCGTAATTACAAAAATGTTTCGAGTAATATATAAATACAAGACAAATTTTAGATGATTTATTTTCACACAATGGACTTCATTCAACATCCATCATATTCTGAACAAATGCATGATATTGCGTTGATCTTATGGAAATTAACAATGGAAAATATGAATAAGCTTTTGAAACGACTTGAACTACAATGCATTTCTTTTGAACGTTTACAAACATCTGGACGTATTAATTTGATTTTTAATTTAAAAGCTCACACGAAAACTTCTTCATATATTGAATTCATACTAAAAGTATCAAATCCTCATTGTTATTGGAAAAAACATCGTATTAAAAATGAAGTTAATATAATGCAATACTTACTTGAACATACGACAATTCCTTTACCGAAAATATTCGATTATTCTGTTGATTTTAAAACAAGTATTTTATCATGTGAATATATATTAATGGAAAAAATTCATGGAAATACTTTAGAATCTATTATTGAAAAGTGTCTGATCAAATTTTGGTTAAAACAGCTATTGAAATGTCTGATTATGTTAAACAGTTGCGTCAAATAAAACTACCACAAACGAATAAAATTGGTTCCTTTTGTAGTAGAGAAATGTTTCTTGGTGGATCTATTGAAGATGGTCCTACACTAGGACCATTTCTTACTTTAAAAGAGTATATAATTGAACATTTACGATGGGTAATACGACGAATTCAAACAGATGAACAATTATTTGAAATTGGAGAACACTTAATACTATCATTATGAAAAATAATTGATGGTGCTCAAACACATTCGAACTTGTCAAATTCAGACATCAAATTTCATGTTACACATACAGACTTAAATTCATCAAATATTCTGGTTTATGCAAATACTGGAAAAATTTTAGCAATACTCGATTGGGAAAGATGTGCGATGACATTCAATAATGATGATAGTGAATTTGTTTCGCATTGGTTTGAAGATAATCAACGAGAAAAGCGATTTCAATCACTCATTCAAAAAGAACAAAATTATCTTGACTTACTCAACTATGCATGTAATTTGCATAAAATTAAGTCATATTTAGATGTAATGTATTCAGTCATGTATGCCACATTCTATAGTTGCACTTGGTTTGAATACGAACAAACCGTCATTGAACATATTAAACAATTTTTACAAGAAGTAGAAGATGCTATTATTGCGTTTAATAAGAATATCTTAGATGAAAATAAATAAACATAAACAAGTCTCTTTCCTTTTCCGATGAGATATTAAATGCAACATGACAGGAGTAAAATGATTCAATAAATAATTTTGAACTTTTAGGCAAATAGACTGTAATGATCAGAGTACAAGTTATTATAGAATCAAAGTTTTCAAGTATTTTCTTTCAAAAAAATACTATAGCAGACAGCGATTAAAACGATCTTATATGTTCTTTATATAGTGAATATTCATATCTCATTTAATAAAAGATATGTATCTTAACATAATTGAAGAATCTATAGAAACTTCTAGTTCAATCCATTGTATCACAGAGGAGAAAAAAGCAACAAAAATTGACTCCTAGCTCTCAAACTATGATAACTTTAAGGATGAAAAACAACTGAAATCAAATCGTAACTTCCATTTTGATTTCTGGTCAGTTAGATTCAGCTAGTATTATTCTAACATAAAATGATCATTATAGATATGGAATATTCACATTCCTTGTCGTACTACTGAGTTGTTGCATATCCACTGATATCTTATACTCTGTTATTATTTGTACTAAATCTATATTTGAAAAACCTCCATATATTTTAGTCTAACATCATAAACCTGTTACAACAAAGGCTAGTATTTCTTCTGTTTATGTTTTTCCTGCAAATCACAGGCGTGTTTGTTTTTATTCCTTTATATAGATTAATAAAAATCTCTTTTGATGCATAGATCAGTAAACATTATTACAGTGATCTATTATGAACGCCATAGACTGCTACAAATTTGGACATGAAACAAGCAATAAAAGATGCAGAAAAAGTTTTATTTCATGTAGATATATATTATATAAATTTTAAAGAATTTTTTCAATTTAAAATCCGTACAAAATATGCTATCTTTTCCGTTTTTATTTCTATTTCGCTTTATATTATTATGTCTTATTACTAAAAATACATGAGTATTCAGTCAAAAAATACAGTGTTTGTATGAAAAGGAAAGAAAAATATGATAGTATTATGATAAATGCTTGGTTTTGATCATATATCTGCTGTTTTTTTCAAATCGAATCGATACTATTTTTACTGATCAATTCATATAGATTTTCAATATAAGTTGAGAGTTATTTGATAATCATGTTATTATTGTTTGAACAGTTTTAGATCCCTTTCATCTCTGTTTAATAGAAGGTGACCTAATCAGTTCACTTCTTTTATATAGTTTTCTCATTAGAATTAGTGATATTTTTCTTATAACTTGAACATATATTTAGATCCTTTTTATCACCTAATTTATGCATTGAAAGCATATTTTTCTGTGTCCATGATGCTGACACTATTCTGTATAATAATCTTTTCGTTTTCATGCGTGTTAATTTATAAAGAGTAAATTGGTGTTTACATAATCAAATATATTGTGTGATTTTATATATGAGATCTCTACAGTGCACAGTAATAGATATTTCGATAAATTGCTTCTCATAATGAGAGGTTTCAAACAAAGATATAAATTTGAGTACTAAGATTGTTCATTTTGTTCATAGGTTTTATGTTGAATAATATCTATCAGTTGAAATAATTGAAATACAAGTGATAGAAAAAAAGATACAGATTATCTAATCGTGATTATTTTTTGAAGCATGTGAAATTTGTTAAAACAATGATGTAGAGTAAAGTTCAGAATTATTTCGTTGAAACAGATTATTTACTTATTTATGAAAATAAGTAACTTTTCATAGTAGTTATGTTCTTCGACGATATCTTTCAAGATCCTCGCTCTTCTTTTCTTGGTTACATGATTACCCAATAGTTGCTTGTCAATTTCGATACCACTCTTGAGAATTAGAGCAAAACTTAACTTTTACATTCTAATATTAAATATGTCGTATGTTTTGTATATTGTGACACACTACGAGATTTTCAACTCCAATACAACGTATCGATTACAATATATTTTGTCAAGCGAAACTGCGATACATTCTAAATGTGATGTTCGAATCTAGTCTTCGTCATACCTGTCATTTCTTCTGTGGGTATGAATATTTAATAGTTTTTCAGTATAATTCGAATTAGTGATACTTATTCCTTAATTTCAAGACAGTAGAACCTTATAAAATCAATCTGTGTCGAGTCAGTTTGATCTTGAGATTAGATCGCTTCAAGGAGGTGCACTTTTGGACCATCGATCGATTTCTTAACGTATTCTCAAAAGATGACTCGTTGAGATATGATTTAGAGAAATTAGCTATATCTGAAAACAGGTCCGTAAATCACCTCTGAAGGCAGGGGAAGGGGGCATAGTGTCTTTTGAATTGCTATTGTGAGGGATGTAAAAAAATTTTTGACTGAGATAGTGTGTTTAAAAAAAAAGGTTTCTAGTTGTTTGCTATGGTTTTTTGCGTTTACAATATAGTTCAGAAATCCATGTAAAAAATTTGGTTGAGAGTCAGATTAAAAATCGATTATAATGGCACGATTATAATCTGATTTTTCAACTTTAAATGACAAATATTATTTGATTTTGACTTTTTTTTTCTATTTTAATCGATTACCTACAACGACTATGAAAATAACTTTAAAAAAATCAAAATCAAATAAAATTTGTCATTTAAAGCTGAAAAATCTGATTAAAATCAGATTATAATAGTGCAATTATAATTGATTTTTAACCTAATTCTTAACCCAATTTTTTACATGGGAAACACTACAGCAGAAAAGAGGCATGAATTAAAAAGCAGAAAGACATACACAAAGATATAATGATAGAAAAATGGATGAGTACAAAAGGGATACACGGTTTTTCCGAAATAATCCAGATTGAGAGACCCATCTACATCATTTTCAGCACTGTAATCTTCTTTTGCTCAGTGTGTTACAAAAAAAAAATTTCGACGTGGAAACATCTTATAATATGAAAAAAATTGTTTTTTTTTACTTTCCTTCATTTTGAGGAAGAAAACTGTTATCGTATGGAGTCAAAAAGTTTCTAGGTATGTCTAACGCCAAAGGCGTTTACGTCAGCGACTATTGATTGAAATGATACTATGTAGAACGCAGCATTAATAGAAACTTCCTAGAAATAGGTTTTAAGCCTTCAAAATATGGTTAGGCTTACGCAATTGATACCATTTACGCAAGCAAAATTGCTTTGTCGGTAGGTCTAAACTCTATTTCAGTGCTGTTGCGTTCCAAAAACTAAATGGTCGTTGAATGAAACCGTTGGTATTTGTTTAAAAGTTTTTGCCACCGAAGTCGGCAGCGTTCGTAATCATTTAAAAATAAAACACTTTAGGCGTAAAAATTACCATAAAAACATGTTTAAATGATGTATCAGACTTCTTAGGTCAATTGTAGTTGTAAAGTTCTCACTTTTCCGCGAAGCAAAATTTTTTTTCACTTTATATACTGTTCGATAAAAACTTATTTCATTCAGTACTTCTTGCCAAAGAGTTAGTAAACTTCTACTTTATGCCTGTTTTCGCCCTTTTTACTAGTGAAAATAACGAAAACTTCCAAGTATTGGGGGAGGAAGGGCGCATTACATAAGCGGTTTTTCAAACCAGGGGGGCGTTGTGCCTTAGAGAATTTCAAAAACAGGGGGTGTAACGCTCCACGCGCTCCCTTTATCTACGCCCCTGTCTGAAAATATACAAGTTCACTAGGTTCCACTGAATCGGTTGTATATAGCTGAATGTACATTGTAGAACGGCGAATGAATATGTATCAGATAGACTATGACACATCTATAATTTGAGACATTTTCGTAGTAAAACTTGCAATATTATTATTAGCAGCACATTTGATTTAGTTGTACCGTCTTTTTCTCTCCTATTATTTATTGCAAAAATTTCGTTTCCTATTCACGGAAAGATACAAATAAATTCATTCGACACCTCCTAGCTAGCTAAAAAACATAACAGGCCAACAAGCAGCAATTGACACATTACACGTATTTGCTATTAGTATTATTATGATGATTTATAGACTTTATGATATAGAATATATATTATTTGATCTGACAAGTGCAATACAAGTAGAGAAACACAAAAAAAAATAGAAGATTTTTATCGCCGACGAGAGCGAAGAGAGATGAGAATCAAACTCACGTGTATAATAAGAAGAGAGTAGGAATGATGAAGTTGGCGGGCGACTCCAAATAAAGAAACGAACAGAAAAAGGAATACGATGGGCATGCGTAGAAAGACATAGACAAGCAAGAAACATAACACTCTCAACGTCATAACCAAAGAGTTACCACGCATACACATACACAAACGCACACGTACACGAACATCTCTCTATGTCTATCAACCATCCTGATTTGGATAGGAACTTACAAGGTAATTAATCTGGTCATATTGTTTCATAGTTATAAGATGACAGATCAAGTGTAGAGAAATAGTTTTTAAAATTTTTGATACGTTACTGACATAAAACGTAACAAAGGCAAGCAGATAAACAATTTGATAGAATATTTCAAATAGAAGGTTTCAACTTATATCTAAGTGTCATACGATTGATTGTTGTAAATGTGATACGTATTTTATTTTAAGAAAAATTTCAAAAACAGTAGTTTGCAATTTTTTCATTCGATCAACCACATAAATAACTAAAAGAATAACGAATTTGAGCATTCACATTACAAATCTAGAACGATTTGGTCGGCAATGTAGAATAAAAATTATAGTTAAAACATTATTAAATGGTCACACATCAATATTTGTTGTAGTTTATGTTCATATGCAACATTCATAAACTGCTTCCCTATCACCGATGCATAATATCCTTCATATTCTCATGCCTATTTTATATTGTTTTATTGAAAAAGGGCAAGTTATACATTGCTCCACCAATCTTTGTAGTCTATTGCAATTGATACGTAGTCAATAAAATGTCAAAATTTTGCTATTCTCATTATTTTTTTAACATTGCTCGCAATTGGCTAGTTCTATTTACTTTTCTTTTCGTTCGTTTAGTGATTTTTTCTTACAATTGTCAATACTAACCACGTATATATTAAAAAAGAAGTATCGAGTCTCAATAATTCCTTTTGTTTTTATATTTCTTCAAATACATGTTAAAGGTATTTCTAACCAAAGTATATTATTCATTCTATGATTTTTCTAAAACGACGCAATAAATACGACAAACAATTCTATGTCAAATTATTTAGCTATATCCCTTGAATTTAGTATAGCTTAGCAACTAATCGATGAAGATGGGCTAGTTACTTTTTCGACAAATATGTCTTCATCTACAATAGAGATATCTTCGATCGTTAAAGATTTTTGAAATATTGATATTAAGTCGATGATGGTTCTCAACCATGAACAAAATGGAGATGAAGATTGAAGTTATGAAGTATTAAATTAGAAACAATATTTTTTCATCTAACTGAAGCATCGTTTCTTTTTAATATTTTACACATTTAGAATTCGATGCAGAGTAGTCCTTGAATGAATAAGATTGAGAGAGCAAAAAAAATTCACTCATTCATATGTTGACGTAGGAAAAATAAAACTAATGTTCTAGAATTCTTGATTATAAAATGAAATGAATTTTAGGCCGTGGAAACGAGTACTTCAAAAGAAAAACAAAGCCTGTTGTCTTTCAATGTATGACAGATGCTATTTTCACATAAGCATGATTAGATCTAATTTTTTTCCTCTTACATCAATACCGAACATGCGTGCGTGTTATTTGTTAAAAACATAACATTAAAATGTCATAAAAATGCAAAGTGAATATAAAGATATGAAACTGTTTTATCTCTCTTAGTCAAGCTAAAGAAACTAGCCCGAGGGAAAGAACAATATATTTTTATTACTGAACTTGTTCGAAAAACAATTTGTCATCATAGAAAAACATCTAAAATGAATGACAATGTGATGAAGAAACAGAAAGTAAGAGAAATAAATGTTTTTTTAATGATCTTATTATCGTTTGTATTTTTTCGAATATAAACAGATTGTTATGAACAGACAGAAGCATTTGTTTTCGCTCTCTCTATTTCCTCTAAATGATAACATGTGACTCTACCATCTAGAGGTTGAACAATATCAGTATGTGCTTTCATTACTCTCTCAGCAACAAAATTTAATTATCTCGAAGAAGTAATACCAACCTTTCTATAATTATTTTTCATAACAGAAGTTAATTTTCAACTTCTAAATATTGTGTATAACAATAATTGAGACTTGTGGACAGATTTATAACGTTAAATAAACAATCGAAAAAATGAGATTGTAGTCGAATGGTTTTCTCCTATCAGTTTTATTTGAATCTTTCTGTTTTCGTAGAACGTTCCCAAGTACCAGTATCAGCTCTTGTGTGTGTACGTCCTCCATCAATCCGTTTGAATGATCGTCATTCTCAATATCTTCATGTATGTGATCAATACCAACAAATAATTATTGAAAATAATAATAATAATCCAAAAGAAGAAATGATCAAAAATAGTCGAAACATGCTATCAAATGATTTGAATGAAGATGAAAATTGTCAAATTTGTGGAGATTTAGCATCTGGATGGCATTGTGGGTTAGTTAATTATATTAATTTAGTTCATTTTTATTTTTGATTATTTATTATGTCATTTAGAGCAATAACATGTGAAGCATGCAAAGTAAAACAAATTTGAATAAAATGTTTTCTTTTTGTTTGTAATATAAATAAAAATAATAATTTAGAAATTTTTTTTACGTTCAATTTCAACATGTGATGGAAAGAAAAAATATAAATGTCAAAGAGATTCAAGATGTTCAATAACAAAGCGTTCTAGAACTCAATGTCAATATTGTAGATTTCAAAAATGTATTACTATTGGAATGAAAGCTCATAGTAAATTTTCTTATGTTATTCTTATTTTATTTTTGTCCTAAAAAAAATAATTGAAGAATTGATAGGATCAAAGACAGAAGACTTATATAAAAAATTACCGTGTGTTATTTGTAATGCATCTGCATCAGGTCTTCATTTTGGTGCTGTTACATGTGAAGCTTGTAAAGTAAGACAAGAAAAGAATATTTGAAGAGAATTTGTTTCTTATACAATAAATTGTAAAGGGTTTTTTTCGTCGATCAATAAAAGAAAATGCAACTGAACGATATCATTGTGCGGAAAATAATAATTGCGAAATAGTTTCAACATCAAAAATAATTTGTAGAGCATGTAGATTTCGAAAATGTATTGAAGCTGGAATGTCTATGAATGGTATGTCATATTTCTTTTTCTATTTAAAATGAAAGAATTCGAAATTAATTTTAGCTTCTCGAATTGGTCGACAATCAAATCTTTTTAAAGAAAGGTAAATAAAAAAACAACCAATAATAATAATTTTTGAAGTTTAATAAAATAGTATTCGACAATTACAAAGTAATTCAACAACTATGGCTACTGTGACAGATTCAGCTCGTATTGCATCGATGGCTAAAAAAAGAAAGACTAAAACTAAAATTGAAAAAAGTAAAAAAAAACAATTTTACAGAACGAAATAGGAAAAATATTTAATTTCAGTATTTGCATCAAACAATGAAATCGATATTGAACTTTCACCCACAATAAAAGAATTTATTGAAAGAGTTTATAATGCATATCTAATCTATTTAAAGGTACTTTTTTTTAACCATCATTATTCTTTTGTTATCGAAAAAGCAGAGATAATTCGATTGTCTTTCATAGAATCGTTTTATTTTTGCTTTATTTTTATCCACAGGATTTACCTCGATGCAGTCCACGTGACACAGTTTGGTCGACAATGGCATCACAAATGATTATTTATGCTCAAGCACTTATGAATTTTTGTCAAAAAACAATACCGGGTAACATACATCATCCTCATCATTTATTGGTTTGCTTCACTTTCTTGTTTCATCATACCTGATTGATGATGTTGTTCTCTATCTATTTTTTTAATGGTCTATTCCCTTTCACGACATATACAGTGAAAGTGAACAGATTTCTCTTTTAAGTTTTTTTTCTTTTTTTATTTATTTTTAATTAACATTTATTTCGATAGGCTTTACAAATATGTCTCAGAAGTTTGAAATCATATCATCATCTATTAATTCTGTTATTATGGTAACATTATTACCGGAAAAAACATTAATAAAAACTTCCTTTGAAAATATTCAATCAACATGGAATTATTGGCAAGCCGAATCAACACTATCAATGGAATTAAATGCACATGTTCCACAATTAACACAAGCAGAAAATTTATTTCGGTCATTTGAATCTACATTACGAGATCTTCACTTAGATGAAAAAGAATTTGCTCTTCTTTTATTAATGATTATTACTCGACATAGTAAGTTTTCATTAGACAGACAAAAACAAAAAGTTGTACTTTTTCAATTACAAGACTTAACTTTAATTAATGAAGATAATAAATTATGGTCAAAATGTCAATATGAATGTGTTCAAGCATTTTCTGAATATACTCAAGGTAAACCTAATAATCTTTTTTTGTTATTGATTTTGAAAATCATTGATATTTTAGCTCGTCGATTGAATATCAATGGAGAACTCTCAATTGAATTTTATGATATTGTTTTTTTGGTTTCTCAACTTCGTTCATTTAACCGTAGTATAACTCAATGTTTTATGAATCTTCCATGGCCATATGTACGAAATTTACCTTCATTTTTTTATCGTATTTTTTTACCAACTATTACAAATATTTCATCAATATTAAATAGTAATTACGATCCATTATCATTGTCGCCCGTGAAGTCATCATTAAATAGTATTAATCGTCATGATATCGAGTTATTTAGTGATTCTTTAAATAGTAATTCAATTGATATTAATATGTGTTATGATCTGTATTGGAAACACTAGGCTGGTATAGTCTGGATGTGTATTTTTGTTTTTTCTTTGGTTTCTTCTCTTGTTTCCTCTGACGTCCAACCATTTTCATACGTATATAGAAACACGTGTCTCGTTTTGCTAATCTTCTTCGTATGGCCTCACACACACTATGCATATTAAAAATGAATTAAGAGACATGACTGATGTGAAGTTTAAAACATATTTAATTCATCTTTTCAATATGATTTTATTTTTAATATCTCTAGCTAATCGTAGGTCGAGGAGCAGAACAAAAACAATGAAAGATATTTATAAATAGATAAAGAAATAAGAATGAGGTCCCTAGAATGGCTCGTTATCTTGAAATAAAATACTATTTCACTGCCCCATATTATATTGTATTCCTATATTTTTATGACACTATAGCGGCTCTACTCAATACTAGTTAGTGGATTAACTATTATAGGGCAGAAGGATATTGATTTACAACAGACATGAAACTTTTTTCATTTCTCTAGTGTGTTGGAGGCCTATGAGTCTGTGTATGTATGTGTAGTTAGTTGTTGTATGTTTACTCATGAAAGAAAGAAATAAAAATTTTGAGGCAAAACTTTAACAACATGTAAACAAACAATTTCGAAATAACAAGAGATGCTTCATCGAATAATGAAGCAAAAGTTTGGATATCATCAATTATTGGATCTTCTTCAAAATTTTGTGATAATATTGTTGATTTTTTTGAGTGATGAGTTGAAATATTTATTTAGGCATCATCTGTCGTTTTGGATATGATGATAGATAGTCGTTTGTATTCATCTTTTCCCGCTTTAATATTAAATAGGTTCGTAAATCAAATGACGGAGCCAGAGAGTGGTCAGCCATTTCTAAAAACCTTTAAGTTTCTTATAAAGATGAGACAATCTAATATTATTGATGAAGAAAATATTTCCTTTTTCAGTCTCAAACGGGAACTAACGCTCAGCAACAAGTATTTTTAGCTCGGTCAGTACTCGAACAATTGGTATTATATCAGTTGATTTAATTGTTTCAATTCGTTGGTAATACGTCGGATTCATAACTACTGTGATTATTATTTTATATAATGGTTTTGAAGTGTTGTTTTATGTTTCTGGAGAACTTATTTGTTAGAGAAAAACAAGGATTTCTCGGTACTTTTTATGTATTCATATTTTATTTCTTGTCGTTCAAATGATATTGAAAAGAATTTGCATTTTGTTATTCACTCGTAAGGATCATCTTTGCAATATTTATTTATTTATTATTTTTTTCTGTAATTGCCTTAAGATCTTGATAGTATGCTATAGGTGTATGAAATTCAATTGTATTTTATTTTTAGCATCTGTTTCAATCATTTGGCTGAGTGAGAAAAGAAACAGAAATATGAAGATGTATAGGTATTGACAAAGTATGGTTGTTAACATTCCTTTTTTGTTTCTATTCTTCGTTCTCCACGTGCTGAAAGGCTTCTGCGTCTCCACATCAAGAAGTACAATCGATAAGAATAGATAAGCATAGATATTATATAAAAAAACAAAGAGAGAACATTTCAAAGGGTAAGACTATTCCACACAGATTTTAAGCAACGCAAAACCATTTGTCGTCGTAAATCTAAGTTTTTTTTTGGATTGAAAGTGAATTTGTAGATGTCCGAAACACATATTGATCGTTCTTATTATTCACCGCTATCCAATGAAATTGCATCATGGCAACGTGATTATACACCTGGACCGCTTACTCAGAATGAGTTTTATCAATTTTTTGAAGATGGTTTTGTTATTAAACATAATTTATTACAACGAGATCAATTAGAACCAGTAATTCAAAGTATAGAACGCGTAGTCGATGAATTAGCACAAGAGCTTTACCAAGCGGTAACGATTTCTTTACTGAAGAGCCAAATATATATATGTAAAATGATTCTTTCATATGTAAGGGTAAAATTCAAGATCTACATGAAAATGATGGTTTTTATCAACGTTTAACTGCAATTGATTCACAGTTTCCAGGTGCTGCTGTTATTCTGCATAAACGTGGTGTTTTGCCACCAGAAATTGCATCATTATGGTCGAGCAAGACATTACTTAGTGTTGCTAAACAATTACTCGGACCTGATGTTGCTGGACATCCAGTTTGGAATTTAAGAACAAAAGTAGAGAAAAATAGTCATTAAAAAAATACTATTCACAGTTTTTTAGGTACCCAATCAAGAACAAGTCACTGTTCCTTGGCACCAAGATACTGCTTGTAACATTTTCTATTTAGCATTCATGATTTCCATGATTTTATTTAGATTTAAATAAAGAATGTTGGAATGTTCTTCAAGTAACAGCATGGATTCCATTATTAGATGCAAATAAAGAAAATGGTTTTGTTTATATAACTTCGTTGAATTTAACATAATGATCACATGCATTTTGTTTTTCAAAGGATGTATGCAGTTGTTACCTGGTGGTCATCGTTCAGGTCGTACTTGTAAACATAATTGTTGTACTGGTAATACATGGTATGTTGAAGTACCTGTTGAAGAAATGGCAGCAACATTGAAAACTCCAGTCACTGAAAAAACAGTATTTACATGTGAAGTACCATTTGGTTCGGTTTTATTTTTGAACAATTTAATTCCACATAAATCAATGGAAAACTATAGTGAAAATGTACGATGGAGTTTAGATTTAAGATGGTAATTATCGACTTCTCATGAACAATAATTGAGTCTTTTGATTTTCATTTAATAGGCAAAAACCAAATGAACCGAATGGATTTTATGGTTTAAAAGATAACATACTAATGGCTAAAGGTGACGATGAAAATTTTAAGCCGGATTGGGAAGAATGGTCAAAGATTAATAGAACAAAATTACAAGAAGCTGTTGTTCAAGAATCTATTAAAAATGAAATACCAGAATTAAAAGAACGACAAAATGATGATCCATTTGACACAACAATATCAGGACCATGGATGCATAATTGGCCAATTGTACATCATAATAAGCATACAGCAAACTTAACAAAAAATACTACTAGTTGGCATAAATCATAAAGAAATATCTTTATTTTCTTAAAAATGATACATTGCTTTTTTTTTTCTTTATAAACAATTCTAAATAAAAACGATATTTGAAGAGTTCACCAAACTTGACGCCTGCACGAAAATACTTATGCATCATTATCTTTCCATTCGGTTTTTCATTGTACATGTGTGCAAGAGTTTCTTGTTGTCGTTATCATATTCGACAGTAAGTCAACCATGACTGTAAATCGCGTATTCCATTTTATCGTGTTAAAGTTAAAGATACAAACTATGAATGTGTATATACTATTGCTATTTTCAGTCATAAACGCAATTTACTACCGAATGAAGTACAACTTTTTGGATCGAATTTGCAATAAGAGTTTGTTTTGCTCAAACCAATTCTGTTCGTGAAATACATAAAGATCTTATGTAAAGATGATGTTCTACATATCCGTTGTAGTAGGATCAATTCGTTAGTTTAGCTAACAGATTCGAAAATCCTGTCGACTAAATTCTCGTTGGAAATTTTTTAAATACAACACGAACAACTTATCATTTATTCCAAGAGAAAAAAAGTAATAAAAAATTGAATAATCAAGTTTCGAAATAAGGCTCTACAAGTGCTTTCTTAATCGCAAGGATACAAATACATCCTCACTAGTGGTACATGATGAAGATCATTGAAAGGTACTATACAAAGCAGGTCATCTTGTAGAGCTTGATATCCAATCGAGTCATTATACAAATGAAAAACATGAAACCGAAGATGAAAAACTTCTCACTTTTTGTTATTCTGGAGATATCTTAGGTCAATTATAATTTCTTTCAGAATGTCAATTTAAATGAAATTTTTCATATTAGATTTAGGAACTGGTTTTAATGTAAATCAACATTATTTTTCATTTACAATAAATGCTTGTTTTCCTATTTGTATTAGATATGGTTGTTTATCACAACAAATTATATTCGGAGCATCATTTTCAATGGGATATCAAGAAGATTTAGATAATTTACTTTTTACATCACCTGTCGCATTCGGTTTTTCGATCAATGAAGATTTTCAACAACAAGAAAAAGACAAACAATGTTAGTTATGAAATTATGAAATAGGGCCTAATTTAAACATTGAAAATAAGAATTATGTCAGTAAATATCTATTTATTATTAATGAAAAAAAAATAAAATCGATAAATACAGCAAAGCATCAAATTATCTAATTCGTTATTATTATGATGAACGGTTGAATAAAGTTATCATTGAACAAAAAATCACTGGAGTCAACAGTTAATCGTTGAAAACGTGGTCAACAATTTGTAAAATATTTACTATTGATGATGCCTTCACATTCTTAAATGATATTAAAAAGACATGGTGCCCCATATTTCGTTCTCTAATTGATAGAAATATTAATATTGTTACACATTATATAGTATATGTTAATTTTCATACATTAGAATTTCTTGTTTATGAACGTATTCTAACAGATAATAATCCAACAATATTTATACATGATTTCGAAATTCTATTTATTTAAGAAAAAAGGAAATCAATTTTATACATTTTTTTATTAGATCTTCTCTAAAAATCAGAGAAATTTGATGAAAATACTTTGATTTTCCCACTATGCTCAATGACAAATAGAATCAATGTATGTAATTGTTTTCTTTTTATCTATTCTCTTTTTCCGTCTTAATTAAATTTACTAATCAATATAATACAGTAAAGCTTTATTCTTTTCTCAACAACAATATGTGAAACGACTAGACTTGTGACAGTCTCTGATCAAAGAACTGATACTGCAACTAGTCCTCGAAAAAAGAAAAGGGCATCAGATCCAGTTCTCATAAAAGAACCAATGCATGGATTTGTGAACTGTCACAGGTCTTGAAAAGACACAACAAAGCCAAACAGTTCGTTTACTTTTACTCGCTGTGGTTTTTTTCGTAGAATTCCATATATCTACAGATTTATTTTTTATTTGGTTCGATGACTTTAGCAATCATTTTAAATTATGTATTTAAATAACAGTATTTTACTAGTAGAAAAAAGTTATTTAGCATGACTTTGCACGCAGCTCAAATATTACATTGATCACCTATATTACAGAACAATTAAATAATTTTCTATGAAAATATTATTTGAATGGCGATGTATACTTTCTTCATAATCTTTTAGCTTTTCATTTCTTTGATAGAATGTAAACTTAATTAATGAACGTGCCTTCTTTCCTGTCGACGATATAAATATAGTAACTTTTGTCGTTTGATGAATTGGAATAGTGATTTACTGCCTCATTTGTTCGTATCATGCATCACAACAGACCACTATTTCCATGGTTTACCTTTTAATATTGAGTCTAATTTTGTTTATGTTGTGGTAACCATGAACTCTATTACATATGTCAAAATGTGCAGACTACGCCTAGGCCAAACTTGTAACAAACTTTTCGTCATTGACTATATTGTTTTACGAATTTCTCAGTAGTCTTGCTCTGTTAATATATTTTTTTGTTCATTCTCAGTATAGAAAATTATCAATAAATATATTGAAGAAGTTGTAAGAACACGAATTACTTGAAATAATATGATAAAATGCGATTTGTGAAAAACTGATTTTTTGAAATCATTGAATTATAGTGAAACATAACTAAGATCCTGTGATTCTCATCTACTCAAAAAAAAACGAGTCAATACTTATATCCATTTCAAATTAAAAAGGGGATGAGTATTTTTGGAATAATTTATTGATAAAAACGAAATAAAAATCTTCGATTTTTACCATTTAAAAGAGGACATGAAACTGTATTGAATCTTGAAAACCAGATTGTTCTGACAGGTTTTCTCAGAGCCATCCGTCAAGTTTCTCAAACACAAAATATTGTGCAATTTAAAAGTTTTGAAATTTTAAATTTTACTAGTGCACTAGAATTCTTGACTAAAGATCAGTAATCTATACAAGTTCGATGTTAAAAGGTTAAGCCAATCACGAGTTATTAACATTTTACTGCATGTTTTCGGCAGATTTGTCGTAAAAAATTGACTTTTTCTCTGATTTTCTTTGATGAAAAAACTATCTTCTTAGTCTACTAAGAAGCCTTATTTTTTTAAAAGACTTGACGGGTGACTCTGAGAAAACTTCTCAGAAAAATCTGATATTCAAGTTTCATTGCAGTTTCATTGTCTCTATAAAACGGTGAAAACCGCAGACTTCTATCTCGTTGTTACCAAAAATTATTCCAAAAATACTCATTCGTCATTTATTTTGAAATGAATATTAGTGCACACTGCCGTTTATTCATAGAATTCTACATATAGTGCTCTTGAAATATTGCTTCCTTTAATTTATCCTTTAGTTTAATTAAAGTTTTGTAATATGTAAAGATCAACAACTACTCAAGACGGAAATTATGACGCATCAACGTCGGGCAGGACACTTTACCGATAATGACAAACTTCAGAAAAAAATGCAGAGAAATGAATCATTTGCAAGTTGATTGATTTAATTTTTCAGATTAAATATAATCCATTGAATTAATATTACTTTCTCATGATTTCATAATTAATATGTGCAAATCTTTGATTTTTTTAATACAAAGAACTACTTGGGAGACATGATTTATCAATTTCAATATGTATTTATGAGGAATAACCCCCATGCATATCTTTATGCATAGAGTAGAATAGATTCGCTTTGTAATATAAATAGTTTTCATTATTAAATTATTATTATTATCAAGATTAAACCATATGGAGAAACATCCTAATAATTGATTATATCAGGATAAAATAGTATCGCTTGTGTAACTAGAAAGAGAATAATCATTTACACTTGTGGAATGTCTAAAGTTGCATTATCTGTCAACTATCTTTTGATAGCTTTTGCGTCTTTCATATATACTTGATGAAAAAGCTTAAAGAGATAAGAAAATATTGAGTTCTAATTAAGGAAAAGATTGTGCACGAAGTAGACAGTGAGTATGGGTTATGAAAAGACAATAAGATATTAAAGCGAGAGAAAAAGAAAAAAGATATTGAAAATTACTTATAGAGATGTGTCTTTATTACAGCAAATCTTTGATAAAACAAGATTTTATTTTGCATGATAAAACGAATACAAAAATATTTTCTTCGTCAGTTTTCATTAGATTAAAGACTGGTATACAATATTACTTTTATTTAAAGAAAGAAAATTTCTGTCAGATTAATTGAAGCAACATTATTGAAATAAACAGATGGAATATTATGTAAACATGAATGAATTAATTATGCGCAGAAACAATACAACATGATTCATCGAGTGTTTGCTTTCTTGCATTTCTGTCTTATGTATCTATTTTTTTCTAACAAAGATAAATAAATAATCTGGATTGATATTGTACTTTTATGACAAAAAAAAAGGTTGATCAAGAATCAACAAGGATAAATATTGGATTCATTGTTGTAAATGTATTTCTAACTTAGTTTGAATACGAAACAAAAGTGTATTATTAGAGAAATACTACGTAAATATGTTTGCTGAAATAAAGCTCAGTTCAGAAGTTTATAAAAATTCATTGAGTGAAAAATTATAAGAACAACTGCATGCTAAAAGCAAACAAAAGTTATAGTTATGTCTTTTTCTCTGGGACACCAAGTTGTTGTCCTTGTGGAAGGTTTGCTGCTGTCAATGATGCTGGATTTGTGTCTATTCCAACAGACCGATAACCAGCAGTATTTGAAGTCGGTGATGTGGCTCCTGGATCTTGTGTGGCTCTCCAACTTGAAGAAGAGGATGCAGGACCGGCGAATGTTGGACGCATTTTTACTCTGATAATATTAGTACAGTATTGATGTTTAGAATACGAGAAATATTTATTAACAACAAGCTATACACGTCTAATATAGATCTGCTGCCACATATATAATTAATACAGTAACCAACGTAAATAGAACAGAAAAAGGATAGCAACTGTCACAAAAATATGAATTGCGTATTTTTATTTATGACAGAAATATCTTTTCTTTTTCACTGACAATTTATTGCCAGATATAAACTTCAACAATAAATAAAGCACAACTATTCTCATTATTAACCCTTAAAATCAAAACAAATTTATCAAAATATTACCAACTAGATGCATTTGATAATTTACTTCGTGTTAAAAAAATATTTTCGATCTATATATCATTTATTAATAATGAAAAAGGAATTAAAAGTTAAAAGAACCAAAATATACGGCAGCAAATGTAGAAGAAATCTTGTTGTAAAAGTGACTGTCATCAATTTAGTTTCATTTCATTCAAAGTCAGAACGATCATCAATAAAAACGAACATACACATATGTAATTATGATTATTTTTGAATACTGAGCTCAAGCAACGTAATAAAATTTTGAACTTGTTTATTGAACTATTACTGTATTGCTGTTCTTTAAATGGCAATAGATGATTTTTCTCAATAGTAATGGTCTCAGTAAAATAGCCATAGTTGAGGTATGTTCAGATTTCTGAAAAAAGAAATTACAGAAATTTCCGAAGCTTCCATCAACTCGATAACTACATAGCAAAGCAAATGAAAATTTTTTGGAAATATTGGAAAGTTTAGAAATTTTAGAATTTTCTGTAATTTCGAAAATTTCGCTAAGTACAGAATTTTGGAAATTTCAGAACTTTCGGAAATTATATAATTTTGGGAAGTATCAAAAAATTTAGAACACAAGTACTTGAAATTTCCCAAACTTCCAAAATTTCCTTTTTCGAAAATCTGAACACTGCTGATTATGTATTCTTTGATTCATAAAAAAATGCAATATGTGCTTTAACAAATTATAAAAATACAATTGACTAATACTTTATAATTGATTTCATTAATAAAAAACTTCAAAATAGATATTTTATGACCTAGAAAATAAAATAGCTTTTGCCAATAACTATTGTTTTCATTTCAACAACAAATCAATTGACGAATATCTATCTCGATGATGAAACTATTTTCTAATATATTCTTTCTTATATCATTGAAAATTTCTACAATAGATAAACATCTAACCATTGTTTTTGATTATTTGTATCATGTCAAACATAAACGAAATTGAAGAAAGATACAATGAACTCGTATTAACATAAATAGAAGAGCAAATATTGATAGTGACATATATCTATCATATTTAAGCACGTAATTATTAAAAACATCTGATCTTTGGTAAAATAAATGACTCTTTTAATAGATAAAAGTCTCACAAAATACAGTATAAGAAAATTCAATAAAACGTATTATCCATCTGTTGCCAAAAATGTGGCTTCAGCTTCTGCCAAAACTTGATCAGGTTGTGCTAGTGATAACTAAATAATAAGAATTTTTTTTCATATCGATAAAAAAAAAGAGAAGAAAGCAAGAATTTACATCTGGAATAGGATAAGGTGTCGGTAAAATAGCTTGATCTCGTCCAAAATCTTTCATTTCACCTGCTTTACAAATATCATCAACCCATAAACCTTCCATAAGCTGTCCTCGAGTAACATAGAAAAATTTTCCATGACCATGTTTCTTATTGTC